AATATGCTTGAAGTGTGGGCTAGTGGGTCTGGCAATTGACCATTAACCCAGACTGCAGGCTCTCAGCACCTCTGTTCTTGTTGCTAAAAATTCCTTGTTGCTTTGATAATCAGTGCAAATGATGCAACTTGATTTATATTACCACTTGCAGAAGAGCATTTTCTAGGCCTCTGTGTCTACTTGACCGCTGAGAAATGCAGCACTGGCTGATAAGATGGTTATTTTCTAGTGGAAACACACCTTTCACATCTAATCCAGTCATGCCTGAGCAGAAACCTTTCAAAAGCCTCTGCAGATGGATTGCAGTGGTTTTGCTGTACCTTGTTTGTGTGACAGTGAGAGCTTGTGGATGACTGGTAGAGAATAAACCACATTCCAGCCTCGGTGGGGGCAGAGATTCCAGTTAACAATGTGCTCTCAGGCACCGTGAGGTCTTGTGACTGATGCATCATCTCTTGACTTTTTTTTTTGCCTCATGTCCTTCTTCCTCTCCATTTCTGGTGTTAGCAAAGTTCAAAAGAGCAGTGCTCTCCATTTACCACAGGCTCCTTCTCTAGTCTCTTCATTTGGTTGCTCTGCAGCAAAGTATTACATACATTACATTACAGACTTCTTGTTGCATGTAGGTGATCTTTGCAATCTTCCTGTCCCCTTCCCATCAGAGCTAGAATCATCAATGAGCTATTGTACTCATAAATCCAGTAATGTCAAAGAGGCAGCATCTGTATCATCTGGATGCAATGGCATTACCTCTCTTCTTGCTCAGTATATTAGAAATGTTGTTATTGTGGGAGACTCAGCCTGCTTCTAGTGGTTTGTATTTTCCATTGAGGTGCTTCTTGGCTAAGGCTCTGAGTTTCCATATCTTATTTTAGAGAATGTTGTGATTTGCCTTGGTAAATCTGAGAACAGGAGATGGAAAACTGAATGGAGACAAAAAATAGCTTACAACTGGCTGTGCCCATTAGCCTTCAGTATTCTGCAAGTGGACAGAATGAGGGATTGCAGCTGGATTGTCTTGTCCCTGGAGCTATTTGGTGAGCCCTGCCACTTTTTATCCCTTCCTGCTAATCTGCTCTCTTTGGTCTGTTATGTCTGTACCAGTTTATTCCTGGAGTGATATCTGTAGAGGTAGTGTCTCTTTCTGCCTCTCTTGCTGGGTGAGAACTGTACAAGAGACTGGCTTGAAAGCCCTGGCCTATCTAAATTCTTTTGTACTTTTAAAATACTTTCCTCTAAAGCCTTTAATGATGTCCTTTGCAATTAAACAATTTTGCAAGCACTCCAAGATTGCTTAAAAATGCCATGGCCCTCATAGGTTTGTTCTTCAGTCATGTTCTCCTGTCTGCCTGTTTGTGATGCTTGTTTGTTTATGCTTGTATTGTGTAAGCTCCTTTTGGCAGCCTTTGGCACCCTGAGTACTGATCTGTGCCTGGGACTCCAGGTGCACAGTAATACCACCAAGTAATAACAGTAGAAGCTTAACACAAGGATACACAATTTCCAGCCTGTTCCTTGTGGTTTCCACCTCAGTACCAGGAGGTGATGAGGCACTGCAGGAACATTGCCTAAGCAGTTTTCAGAGTAATTTTGTGACTGTTTATCATTGTGCTCATTAGGACAGCAGTTATTTCATTGTGACAAGCCCACCCTTAAGCACTGCAGCAGACAGCAGAGGATGCCCCCAACCTCCAACTGCGAGTCTGAGCTCCCGAATCTGGCAGGAAAAGCGTGATGCCTGCTGCTCCTCGGGTCTCCTCCCAGCCAAAAAAAAAAAAAAAAAAAGGGACAGAGTTCCCCGAAGGGAAGTAATTGCTTTGGAAACCTCTGTGAACATCTGGGTCCGATCAGGCTGAGCATCCACCGGGGCGCGGCACCGGCGGTAGCGCGGAGCTCGGCGGGGGCTGCGCGGCCGGGAGGAGCCCCGGGGCTGGCCGGGCTCCGCAGCTGCGGAACAAAACCCCGGGGCTCGCAGAGCCAAACCACCAGGCTGGGATTGCAGTGACTATAAGCCAGGAAAACAGTTTTTGGTTCTTTAGCGCTGCACGGGGCTTTGCCGGCTCTAGAGGTGGAAGTGAGAGCTGCCTGCTGAGACTCCGTGCTCCTCCCTGTAACTGTTTTAGAAACTACAGCGGGAAAACGCATGCTCTAGAGGTGGAAGTGAGAGCTGCCTGCTGAGACTCCGTGCTCCTCCCTGTAATTGTTTTGGAAACCACAGCGGGAAAACCACAATGGAAGGCTCCCCCAGGTGTCCCTCAAAACGAATCTCAGGGGAACTGCCCGGTGAAGTTCCAGGGAAGGACACAGAGCAAATAGGAATGACACAGAAGGGAGAACCCAGAGCAATTTCAGAGCAGTGTGATAGCTGAAGGAAATGCGTAGGAAATAGTAATGAAAAACAACAAGAGAAAGAGCTAAATAGAAGGGAGTAAAGCAGACTGGTTGTATTTCCAGCTAGGGATGGGCACCCCCATTTATTTTGCACTGGCATTGAAGTAGCTGAGCCCATTGAAGTAGCCCAGGTGTGATCCTCGTGGTCCACACAGCACTGGGAAGATGGACAGCAGTGGTAGGTCTGGTTATTTCAGCTCCAGCAGCAGCAAGGAAAAAACTCTCAAATGTTTATAACTTTTCTTCTTTTTATTTTCTATTTAATGTTTTATGTGTAATATAAAAGCCATGGAAAACCTACTTAAATCCCAGAACTTATGTAGACTCTCCTATGGAGTGTATGTCCAAACAAAAGACATCTTTTGTCCACTTTAAATAGCTTGCAGATCTTTGGCTTGAATTGTTCACAAAATTTGGGCAATACCATATTTAGAGGTGTATGTGAAATCTTAATTGAACTTATAAATTTATTTTAGTTTCAAGGTCACACACTATTTTTCCAGGGTGTGCCTGCTTAAGCCTATGATAAGATGGTTTCACTGAATGAGTAGCTGTTCACAATTTTTGTTTATCATCTTCATTTCTGTAAGACCTGGAGCATGCTTAATGCAAGTGGAGTCTGCGACCTTTTTTTTTTTCCCCCCTCCTTTCCTGGAACTAGAAAGCCTCTACTTTACGTGTGCCCTTAGGAAATTCCAAAGGTTTAATATTTATCCAATTTTTAATGAATTTTCACAAGGAGGCAAAACCCAGCTGGCATACCAAATCCCTCAAATCCCTTGGTCAATGGATGTTATACTTTATTAATATTTGTAAAAGGTTGGGGATTTTTTTGTGTTTGTTTGGTTTTTGGTTTTTTTTTTTTTTTTGTTTTTTTTTTTTTAATTCTGGGATCACTTAGTGGCTGAAAATGTCTTATTATAATGGAAAGTGTTAGATGACTTTGACACCAGACATTCTTTCTAATTCTACTATGACGAAAGAATCTGAGTCATAATTAAGAATTTTTTCCATTTAGGGTCCCAAGGGCACCTGGCCATTGATGAAATGTGAACTTAAACCCATGGGATGCTTGCCCTGGTTGTCAAAAGTGTATTATGTTTGGGCAGTTTTGAGGGGGCACAGGTAGCAATGGGATTTGGCTTTCCTGGGGTGTTGGTTTGGATGACAACGTGCACCCTCCTCAGGTTTGCTCTGTTAATGCCTTTTGTAGCATGAGCCATCTGCCAAAGTTTCAATTTCAGGGTAGAAATTCAGCAGCTAAAGATATCCATGGGATTGTTCCATAAAAAACGCTCTGTAAGGTGTTCAGCAACACGTGGTGTGAGAGTTCACAGGAGCTGAGCACAGGACAGGGAGCGTGTGAAATGCAGCAGGCATTGGCTGAGGCAGAATTCCAGTCTGTAATTACAGGGGTAATCACTACTGGGCAGAGGAGGCTCCTGAGGATTTTGCAGTGGAAAATCAACATTTTCATCAGTACCTTGAGAGCAGCTATAAAGTCACTACTAAGCTGCAAGCAACCCAAAATTGGTGTGTATAATGAATTCCAGAATGTGTCCTTTTTATGTAGTGTAGTGTCTGTTTCTTGTCATGGAGATCTCAGGGAAGATGGCTCAATGCTTCAAGGAGGTGTTCAATCAGATTATCCTGCCCAAGAAGCTGGTCAGCAAATTAAAATTCTTTCCGTCCTCCCTGTGCCTTGCTCTGAATTAACCCAAACAGAAGTGAAATGTTGGAACACAATTGCTCCCTTAGTCCTGTGAACACAGAGCCTCTGGTTATTTTGGGGCACTCTCTGCTGTGCCTGCTGACACCTGGAAAGGTGTCAGTGATGGGGAGCAATGATGCAAAGCCATCAGTGAGCAAGGATGGGAAGCCATGTGGCAGAGTGGCACCAGCCCCTCCCAGGGAAGGCTGTCTAGGAGTGCAGCACACATCAAGGCCTCTGTTCTTCCATGTTTGCAGAGTGAAAACTAGAATTGGGTAAAAATAATAGACATACTTAGTTGTGTCTTCCCTTGTACTGTGAACATTCATGACTGTGCACAGGACAAGATGATACCTCTGTAAGCTTACAGCTTAATTCACATAAAACCTAACAGGGGAGGACAAATCTAGGATAAAGTGGGAAGCATGTAGCTCACACTGCAAGTAGGGCTGTACAGTCATTTTTAGCTCTTTGAATATTCTTAAAAGCATTTGCTATCCAATGGTGTATCTCCTTGGAGGCAGGTGGGAATGATCACAGGATGTGCTGGAATGCTTAATCCATGGATCAAACCAGCTGAAGTGCCAATTAGATGAAAAGATGGCACCAGGAAAGAGAAAGGGGGTAATTCATGCTGAAGACCTGTCCTGTGAGTCTCCCTCACAGTTACTATCCATACTGGCTCAACTGCATCAGTCCATGCTGCCACTTCTCCAAGAGACACAGGTCCCCTACAGTGTCATACTACTGCCCTGTGGCAATGAGCAGAGACAATGGGAACTGCTGCACTAGTGCATTATAATATATTTTTAAATAAAATAATAGAAATCTGCTATATTTTGTATATATTTCTGTTTGTTGTTTTATCTTTCTTTTTCCTTTTTGTTTCTGTTCCCAGAGTGCCTCTGATGGCTTTTGGAAGTCAGTGGCGACCCGTGTCCCAAGGGAGCCTCATGAGATACGTATCCTGAATCCCTACTTCATCCAGGAGGCAGCTTTCAGCTTCATTGGACTGCCTTTCAACAACGGCCTGATGGGCAGAGGGGTAGGTATAAAGCAAAGGGAGCAAAACCTCAGAGAAGGATGTGAGACCAAGCAGCACAGGAGGCTTACACTGTTCTTATTTTTCCTTTGGGCCTTCACTGCTGGACATTGAAGGGGAGGGACTTTGGCTCTGTTACAGTGACAGCTCTCAGACTCCTTCAGACCCAGTCAAGAACTTTCCTGATCCAAGGGTTTTGGGGGAATCATCAACAATTTAGCAGTGCCTTGAAAGCCACTGTGAAGCTGCATCCCAGGCCGATAGTAGAAGAGGGTAAAGGTTTGCTTTATGAGGCCTTTGGTAAGAAATTCTGGTCTTATCCCAACAAGTTTTATATGTAAAAGCTCACAAAAGAAAACAATGCAAACCACAGTTTTAGCTTATATTTATTAACAAAATTCCTTAATGTTCATTCTCCTACCTCTCACCCCCAGTGCAGCTTTTTGGAGTCTTAGTGTTGGAGTAGGTGGTGACTTGGGTTTTCTGGATTATCTCACATTGCAACACTGTCCTCAGAACCTATTTATATTTGCTCTACGTAATATATCAACCATTAGAGTAAGTATTACTTGGGTGGGTAAACTGCTCATGCACACATGTGATATAGTTGTTGATAGAGACCACACGTGACATTTTTGGACACGTTAGCACAGCTGACAAACCCAGAGAGGAGCACTTTTGCTGGACAAGGTCTGCTTGGTCTGCCCCGGCATTGTCCTTCCATTGCTATCAGTGCAGGAGATTTGCTATGTCACAGCAGGGATTTGGGCTAGACAGAATAGTGCCTCGTTTCCCGTGCTCTAATTGTATCATGAAGACTTCTAGAATATTAGAGACTTTGTTTTGTGCAAGTTAGATGGGTGGATGCCTCAAGATAAGATGTTTCCTTCTTGAAATGCAAAATGCAAGATGTGCAGACAGATTCAGCCACGTGGAATGGGCCTTTTGAAAAATGCACTGCTGTGTACAGAAGCTGTCATGGGATTCTGGGAACTCTGGATTTTTGTTCTGTGCACTGAAGGTATCTCATTGCAAATATTCCAGTCAGCTAGGAATTACCTTACTTCATCTCTCTGCATTCTCCAGAACTTACCCTTAGAACAATGTGGTCTTGATGTGTCTTCCAGAAAATCAGGAGTGCTGTCCCAATAATGGACAAAAATCATCATACTTTAATTTTCTCCAATTTGTTTTTATTTTTAAACACGTTATTTTAATACACAAGTTATTACTTAAACTGAAAGGAGAAGAGAGAATCCGGAAATGAGAATGCTGTGAACTGAAGTTTATGAGGTTTTGATAGGTTGTTTAACACACATCAGATTGGGAAATGAAGGCATCTTAATTGAAACCTGATGTTTCACTTCACGAAAGTCTATTTGAGCATTTAAAAATACTTTATGGTTTTTTAAGGCAAGCAGTGTTTGCCTCTGACCCCTAGTAGACTGTGTGAATTGTAGTTTATTCCTCCAGATGGGACAACAGGAGCTCTGCAGGTGCCTGTGTGGGGCTGAGATGTCAGTATAGCCTGGGCGGTCTGTGCAAGGACACTGATGCAGGGGTTCTGCCAGAGTTTAAAAACAGAGAGAGAGTTTCTGGCCTGTGGCTACAATTTTACTGCAAACATCAGCTATGGACTGCTGTCATGGAACTGCTAGAGCTTCACACTTTAGTGAATTCTGCTGCACCACTGCAAAGTTTGGAGCTTTGTAAATGCAAAGGCTCCAAAAGGAGCTATTGCTGTCAGGGTAAAGAGAGAAGAGTCTGAGTAAGGCCCTGGTGATACAAATTTGCTACATGTTTTGCTCAGATTTTAAATGGGAGGAGTGGAAATCAAAGCCTGTAGACCGAGGATTCAGCTCTCACTGAGGATTTGTGGGTGATCAAGGCAGACAAGTGGGGCAGGAGGATTGTTCCACATCTGTGTGACCCAGCAGCTGCACAGCTGGTTGGGTTTGGGTTGTGCTTTGTCAATGAGAGATAACCTGGAAAACTTTACTCAAGAGAGAAGCACATGAACATGGAAAAGGAAATGCTAAGGACTAGTAAGCAAAAGCACAGCAAGCAGTGTACCCAGAGATTCTCCTGGGAGATGGGGCTGGAGGCAGGTGGGTGCCCTGTGCTACAGAGTGCTGTGCTGTGTTGGGCAGGCTGCACACTGGAGGATCAAGGCTGGGGATGCCTTCCTAATCAAGGCCAACACAAAATCCTCATAAAGAGCAGTAATATTCCACTCTCCTTTGGTTCTGATACTTAAATAAACTTCAGTGCTTCTCTTGCACACCACATATGGTAACAATGTGCTGCCAATTAACTTTGTAATTTGGGGGCTTTTCCAGCAAGGTTGAGCAGAGCTAGTAAAATAGTTTGGGGCTGATCTCAAAGCGTTTTTCCCAGGATTCAATAAAGAGTGAATGTAGTAACATCCTCTGCTTTGATAATATAATTTGGGCCAGATGATCCTGGAGTATGGTAATGGGGTACAATTCAGATGTGCATTTTGATTGCACTCATGGCAGTGGTAGCCAAAAGCCTCAGCAAGGAGCAAAACTCACACCCACAATGAATAGTGACTTCTCTCTGGGACTGGTAAAGCTTTTTAGAAGTTTTCTTCAGTCCTACTGAAGTATTAAGAGTAGGAGAGCTGTTCCATACTGTATGTGGACTTCTCTTTCTTGGGATAAGCTGATCATAAAGAGCAAACTTTGGGCTCCTAGCAATATCTGGGGGAAAATAATTGTTAATGCCTGAAGATGGTTTAGCACCCAAAAAAAAATCTAGTAAAGATCCTCTCTCTGATTAGAGAATTCTGTTAATGTGTGGATGCAGGGTTGGCTTTCTCACTAGCCAAATGTGAGTTTTGTTCAGGTGAAAGTTCTGTTTATACAGATCTTTGGGGCTTGAAACCAGACATCACTGGTATTGCAGCTGGTGGTTCAAGCTTGCAGTAGCACCCCTTAGATTGCAGGCAGTTTACTGGGGGACAAGCAAGAGCATCAGCTCAGAGGTGTCACTGCTGGGTGCACAGACACCCCTGGGGATGGCAATCACTGCTGTGGTGCCTGTGGCTGTGTAGTGAATTGTCCTGTCCAGTCAGGAGCCCTCAGAGCCATGGGAGCAGTGTCCTTCTGGCTCCTCTGGGAGCCCTGAGCCTGGTGTGAGGCAGAAAGGGGAACACTTCAGGTGACATAAATTATCAGAAGTCTGAGGACTCCAGTGCACTCTGCAATGTTTGTTTCTCTCTCTCTGTGCTGGTGCTGTGCATCCATGGATCTGTTTATGATTTAACCCAACTCTGGAAGTCTTTTGTTTGTTCGTGTACTGGAAATAGTTGAATCTATAAACTAAAAAAATAAAGCATCCTTCTTTGGACTTCAGCCAGCCTCAGCACTAAGCAGGTGAAGGAGGAGCCATGTGCAGGAGGTGTTACCAGGCTGATTCAGGCACCCAGCCATGGATTAGCACCTCTGCAGAGTGCTGACATCTCAGGAATTAACTCTGATGCTGGAGTGTTAGCATGTCCTGGCCACAGATTCTCGTAGCTCTTAGATGGTTTTTCCTGTGGGCAGGCATCCTTTCTGGAGGTGCCAGCAGGGATCCTTTGCTCCTTAGGCAATTTTCAGCTCCCTTGTCTCATCATCATGACCTTTTTGCTCATGAGTTGCCCAGGTGTCAGCAAACTTTGTCTCCTGAGCTGTTCCTACTGGACTGTGACTTTGTGAAGGCTGTGTCTTGGAACCTGTTGGGTCTTTGTGGAGTAGAAGAGAGGTGGGGATGGCAGGAGCAGAACAGTGTTCCACTTAATCCTTTCCAGTTACGTGGCTCTCCCTTTTTTGCACTCTGATGGCATCTTCTGAGGCAGGTAGAGGGACAGGTATGGGCCACTGCAGTGCAGTCAGTTAAATGTAGAGACTTAGTGTCACTGTAAAGCTTTGGGTTTGCGAGGCAGCACATCTGCTTTGTGGGGTGGGCTGTTCCACCCATTGCTACTGCAGTGGGACCAGTCCATGAGCTGCTGGGGAAGGGATACTCAGACAAACTGGTGCTGGGGAGCAGGTAAATGCATACCAGCCTCTTCTTCCTTCTGCTCATGAGAGATGCCAAGGACCCGAAGGGAGCTTGCTTCTCAGTGAAGAGTAGACCATGAACTCCCATTTGGCATGGGGTAAGTGTGTATGTGCTTATCACAGAGCAGGTAGAGTGTAGTAAAGTCAAGCCTTTGGTTCCCTTCTGTTAAGTTGTTAGGTACTTTAGAAATACTCCCTGCACTGCACAGGAATCTGCTCTATGGCAAATGGAGAATCAGACCTTGTGCATCAGGTTAGATGTGTTCAAAAATACTTGAACTGGGCTTGGGTGTTGAGGAAGTCAGCAGGGAAGTGGCAGAAGGGAGTCTGCTGGGCTGTCCTGTCCCCAGCTACCAGCTGCTGGCCCTTCCCTTTGCTCAGCTGCAGACAGCCAGTCCTGCAGGCTCTGTCCCACTCACAGCCAGGGATAGCCAGGGAAGCTGAAGGAGGGGCATTGAGGTGTTCTGCTGTGTTTTTTGAAGCCCACTAGTGCAGCTGTTTCTGTGTGTGGGTGGAGGTGGCTCTAGGAGCAGCAGTGTGCACTGTAAGCTCCTGTGACAGGGGCCACTCCACAGAATGCCAGGCACTTGCCTGCCCACCATGAATGATACTGAATTGCTTTCTATGCCATATTTCCACCTTTTCAGCTAAAGGAAACAAAGGGTAGGTTTGGATTTGCTCCAATGCAAACATAAAGAAACAAAAGTGATAGTTCATGTATGTTGAGATGACTATTATAGTTTTGTTCTGGATTTCTTTTGTTTTGAAAACTTCTTTGCTATTAGGTGATCAGGTCTGTAACGGATAAAACTAAGGTAAGAATTTTTCCCAAGTAAACAAATTTTTGGATTTTTTCCTCAGATTATTTAATATAGTAGTCAAACCAATTTAAATATCCAGGTGCATTATTGTTTGTAGGGAGTTTATTCTTCAGTAACACTTATGCTTTTATTGGAAAAGGTAACAATTGGAATAGTCTGAACAATCCAATAAGTCTTGCCCTGAACTAAGTAAAATCCCATAAATAACTGGAATTCATTTAACATATTAAGGGAGTCAAATATTTCTAAAAACAGATTTACAGCAGTCATTTCCTTCCAGTCCAGCAGGCAGTGACACAGGAATGACCCGGGCATGGAATGAAAAGCAGCAAGAGCTTTTCACATGCACCAAGCAAAGAGCAGTTCCAGCCCTGGTTCAGTCACCAGCACTGGATCTTCAGCACAAGCCCACGAGGTAATGGTCAGCCTCAACAGAGTCCAGAGGAGTTCCAATGTTCATTTCTGCTGACTGACTTCTTTCCTTATGTGAGTAGAAGTCAGTCTTTAAAGCCTCTTCAGGGGGCAGAATGGAAGATCAAACATCCGTGTCTTGAGGTGAAGCCTTTTGTCATCCTGCTTGCAGCAGAGAACAGTGTAGGAGCAGTGAGGAGAGCCTGTCCTATGTCTGTACTGCTAAAGGCATTTCTGGTCCCCTGACCTGTGGAGCAAACTGGCTGTGTTTGCACTGCACAGAGCTTGCTGTGGTTCCTGACACAGCACAAGACCAGAAATCTTTGCCTCTCCTGCCTTTACACTTCTCTCACCAAGATCCACCATGCATGTCCATGGAGGACAGGAACCCCTGGAAGGAGCCATGCTGCAGAGGCTCAGGCAGGCTTTTCCCAGCACTGCTGTGGTGATGTGCCACTCACCACTGCTGTGTTTTCTGCTTCTGTTTGTCACGTGGCTTTTTAGTGTCATCCCTGGCTCATCTGTCATTCTGCTGTGCTCTCTCAAATGGGACCAAGCAAAGGGCTGATCTCTGGGGAGCATTATGTTGGATATTACATTTTCCATATGTTTGGTCTTAGACAAGCAGGCCAGGCTTGAAAATGTGAACTTTCAGTTTTGGATGTGTTATCCAGTGAGGTTGTCCTTGTAGTTGTTTACTGAAAAGGGGATGCTAAGCCTGGTACCTCCATGGGCCCCAGCCTGGACAGGAGCCATTGACACACAGCTTGCAAGGCCAAGCTCAATGCCTGTGGCAGAGAATTAACAAGGGGAGAGGGCTGACAATGATTTCTGGGCTTTGCCATTCCCAGCTCACACTGCTTGCTGGGCACCAGTACAGGTCAGAGGCTCATCATGGCCTCATCTGCAGCAGTGGTTGTGTTGGGCCTTTCCAGTTCTAACCTACACTGGGCAGTCTCTGTGTGGCTGGGAGGCATCCCAAGAGGCTCCTGCCCCAGCACTGGCTGCTGTGGGGCTCTAGCTCTTCAACCATTTGGTTGAAAGCAGCACTGCTTAGTGATACAGGAACACCCAAGCACACAGAGGGCCATGAGCAGGAAGACAGGCTTTGAACTGGTCTAACACTAGATTATTATCTTACTAAGGCAAGATGGTAGAATTTGGGGGGGTTCTGTCTTAGCAGAAGCCTCTAATAACAAGAGGCCTGCTCAGTTGTTTTTCATAACTCAATGCAAACTCAATGCAGGAGGTGTGGTGGTTGCTTTGGTATGTCTTTGGGGCACGGCACAAGGGTGTGTGTGGTGAGGTAGCACTGACACATTGTGCAGGGCATTGCAGGCCAGATTTGGCACAGCCATGTCCATGATGCTTAATTTCTTTTGGAGTCACTTGTCCCCCAGCTTGCCCCGTAGGTTGTATATGGTCCATTAGGTCCAGATGAGAGGTTAGCAGCTAATGAATTTATGTGTACAATCAGGAGAGCTTGGAAGCTCTGTAGATGCAGCCAGGGAGTAGTTATACTGACTGCCTCTCTAATAATGTGTCTCCTCTTATTTGCCACTTTGCTAAAAGGAAAGGAGGGGAGAGTCCTTTCCCTTGGACCTGAGAGTGCTGCTCTGCTGCATTCTCTGTAGCACAGCCTGAGAAATGTGCCTAGATCCTATATGGTGTTGTCTTTCCCATGCCACAAGCTGGACATGAGGCAGTGCTTCATTTTCAACAGGTGGCAGGAGTAGCAGAATCTCAGCAGGCTGCTACAGGAGAAGAGGGCTCAGTTTCTGTAGCTTAAACCGAATCAAGATTAAAGTAATGACACTTAGATAATCAACAATTGTACTTTTTTATAGTTTTGTTCAAGACAGCTCCATTTTCTTCAAGACTGTCTAATTCCCCAGTTACTGTTTAATCCCTCTGATGATTGCTCCTTTTTTAAAGAAGATAAGCACTTTGGAGCAAGTGGCCAGTTATGTGTATGTGATCTGGGCACGTGTGGGTGCACACACACTTTGCACCATGTTCTTCTCTTGGCAGATGCAGTTATCCACGCCATTTACTATGGGTGGGTTTTGCAAGCACCCCTGTACTGCCCTAATAGTTACTGCCCTCAGTGAATAGCAGAGGTGATCATTCTGACAATATTTTCAAGAGGCACCTCTCTAGCCCACAGGATTCTGACTGCAGCAGTGGGATTGAGGCTGCATCTCACCACTGAAGGCTGCAGAATTCTGCCTTCAAGGGGGACACATATTAAGCTATAGCTACCACAGTGTTGGAGGGTGCTAACATCAATTAGGCATAATTAAGAAACTGTCATCAGATCATCAGTTTCCAGATGTGATTTTTAGGGTAATGCAAAACGATTTGCTAAGGACATCCTGTGAATTTCTGATAGTTATAGAGGCCAAATCAGATATATCTACGACTAGAGGTTGGGAAGGTAGGTAGTCTCTGGTATTTTAATCATTTTTGGGAGCAGAGCAGGTGGTACTAAGATAGTGGTATGTCAGGAACTACTAAGAACAGAAGTAGAGGAGAAAATTATCTTCTATTTTTCCATAAATATCATTGGATGTCTTGTAGAAAGAGTAAAGTCAGACAGATATTTGGCGACCAAACGAAAGTTCACTTTCAATTTCTGTCTACTGTTATTCTCCGAACAGAATATGCCTGAAAGAAAGTTTGGCAGTCCTCCCATAAGGTTGGGTAATGTGATTAATTCTCTGTGGTTTGCAAGACTCACATTAGAAAGTTAGCTCTTAAATGTTAAATTGGCCAGTGAAATTCCCTCCAGGCAAAGACCCCGTGCATCCCTTGAGCGGTACCGTGGGAATGGGCCCGGTGCAAGTGTGGGTGGTGTTAACACCGTGCTGCTCCCAGTGACGACACAGCCTCAAGGATGTAACCATTTACTCACTGTGTTTTGGACACTGTAACTACAGCTCTGCTTCAGGAAAGGGTTTTGTGGCACGTCCGCTTACCAGCTGATGCAATCCCAGCGACATACAAATGTCATCTTCTATGCAAAACATAAAGCTGAGAAATCAGAATTAAAACTGTCATGTCTGGAAAGACAGGATGTTCCTGGATATTTTGAAATTTGGGGCAGTGTTCTTATCCTTGCCTAATAAACTTTTTCCATTTTTTTGAAACTCCTACTTGATATTTTTTGGCTACCAGTGAATTAACAGTTAACTGAAGTAACTAGAATAAAACCAGTATTGTTTTTGTGAGTATCAATTGAATTTAAGCGGTGAGAACAAAATTACTCTGCTGCTTTTCCCAACATCTAGAACTGGAAGGATGTAGGAAGATCTTGTCATTTCAGCTGTGCTGTATTACTGTTGTGCTGCAAATGTTTGAACCTAATGTCTCATTGATTTAGCCATAAGCAGTTTTTGCCTGTTCGTTTTCAGATTAGAATAATTCCAGTGCACTGTAGTGGAGCTCTACATAGCACATGAGTTGTGCTCCCAGCTCTGCACATCTCAGATGGGATATGGATGGCATTCTTTGCTTGGAAAACATTTTCCTTCAGACTGGTCAGGCAATCAGAAGTGAGCAAGGTCATGTACTGACAAAAAACCTGTTCCTTTGAATGAGAAGCAGAAACTCAAAACATTGTTCCCAACCTTTTTGAATACGCAATAGCATTGCTACTTTCATCGTACATGAAAAATATAAGAGTGCAGTTGGTGCAGTTGGTTTCTACATCTCAGCTAAGAGCTGTCACCCTTGGTGACTGTCTGAGCATGTCCTCTGAATTTGTGATATTTCCAATACGGCCAGTGTTGGATACTCTACCAATGAAGATGTGGGTGGATTTCTCAGCCTCTCCCTAACCCCTGGGACAAAATTTTCTCTGGATTTATCTGGCTAAAGGGGAGCTAGAAAAGTCAATGAGCTAGGATTTTACACTGGAAACCCTCTGTTGTCCCAGCAGAACACACAGGAGGAGTTCTAGCTGTGCAGCACTGCTGTCACAGGGCCAGAGCCCAGTGAAATGGGAAGGGCTAAGGCTGGACATCAGTGCAAAGTGCAGGTCAGCAGATGGGAAAGGACAGTTGTGGTGTGTCCTGGATCCATCTCTGACTGGCTTCCCACTGGTCCTTGTTTTCCCAATGTGTGGTTTGGAGGGAATGGCACAGGCCAGAGTGCCCCTTCACTGTCAAGGTGCTCCTGAGAAAAGGAAGGGGTCTTGGAACACACAGTCTGATATCCTCTCCTTCTCCCAGAGGTGTTTAACAACCTTAAACTGCATTTGCCATCAGTGAATTAAGGTGTTTGTGCTGTTCCTCAGTTTTGCTCCTGTGTGGTGATCTGTTTGGGATAAGTATTTTTCCTTAGCCTAGCTGGAAGCCAGTAATGTGCATTAACATTGTAATGCACTGTCTACATCTGTTTTAATTTCAGAAAGCTAATGTATCCACTGTGATTCATCCTCCAACTCATCTGCTGCCCTGTTCTCAGGACAGCAAAGCTGTGGAAGGGGAGTCTGACCATTTGCATTAATTTCTTTACAAGTTGGGAGGCTATCAACCCTGCAAGCTGGCAAGTTGAATATGGCCACGTTCCTGATTTTCTGCTTACTAGCAGCAGTGCCTCCGTGAGCAGACACAATAAGAGGAAATTTTTGATTATAAAAATGCCAACCTGCTAATGACTTCCATCCCTGCTTTCTCTCCTCTCAGAACATCCCCACCTTGGGAAGCGTAGCAATAACCATGGCGCTGCACAACTGTGATGAGGTGGCCGTAGCTGGCTTTGGCTATGACATGAGCTCACCCAATGCACCGCTGCACTACTATGAGAACATCAAGATGTCTGCCATCAAAGAGGTAGGGAGCTCCTGCCAAGCACATCCTTCTCCCAAGCGCAGCAGCTACCTGGACTCCAGAGCCTGACTGGGACCATGATGTCAGCTTACAGCTGTCCTGTGTGGATCAAAACACAGCTCCGCTCATGCATTTGCTTGTAAAATTCTAGACATTCTCCCAAGCTCAGTGTATGTTAAAAATGGTTATTACTGCTGGGAAAAGTTCTCTGGAATGTGTATGTAATGTAATTTCTTCTTTGAGTGGCAGGGAAAGGATTCACATAAATGTTAACTCAAGGAGTGTGAAAGGGAGCACTTTTGCTCTGGGGTTGAAAAGATGCACCCTCTCCTGCTTTTTGATCGATTGGATTGCTCTCTAATCCGTAGGCTTCTTTTATGAGTTGATCCCCTCCTCAGGCCCTGGAAGCATGGGGGAGGTGAGATCAGCCTGTGTACCTGAGCTCTCACTGACTGTTCAGCAGCACCTCGCTGGTGTGAGCACCACTGGGCTCTGTGGAGACTGCCCTGTAAAGAGAGGTCCACATTAAACACATTTTCTGCTACTATCACAGTGAGACAAATGGCATTTTTGGAGGAACAAAAGCTCTCATATTGGTATAATGCAGCAGCAGTATAGATAACTTCAGGTCTGTCCATTTCCTGTACCAAACTAGAGCAAAATTGGACGCAGGTCAAAGCTTCTATAGTGGGAAAGTTTGCTGCTTTTATGGGAGAGCTCCTTCTTTCCCAGCACAGATGTGACCCAGGTCTTCCTAAGATTGCTTCTCCCTCTTCACTGGGTAGGGAAACTTGCTCTATTCTACTCCACACTGTGGAAAGTTGTATTGTTCATGGACAGTAGCTCTCTCCTGGCACCTGGCATTTGCTCACCTCAAGGACTTCACCACTGATTCAGACCAGGGGGAAGCTGGGAAGTTGTGTTTTTCCAAATCACAAGACTGTACGTGTCTTAGTACTCTCACAGGCTGCAGGCTGCATGACCCTAGGCAGACTGAGAGGAATTATAAATCAATGATTAGTCAGCTTGAGAAATGAGAAGAGTGTGTCTAATTATCAGAGTAATGAGGCTTTGAAGCATGAAGCTCTCAGCAGAGGCTAAGGGAACAGAGTTTAGGAAAAGGCTGTGAGTAGGTCCTCAATACACCAAGGTATTTGACCTTGTGATGCCAAGGTACCTTCTGGGCCTGTGGAGGTGGCAAGAGCTCAATGGAGCAACCATGGATTTAATTAGTCCTTGCTGGGAAAATTACTGCCTATTAAACGATTTAAGGGGTATGTCCAAAGAAGTAAATTGAATTGAGGTGATGTCTGGCTTATGAAATCCCTGAATGAAAAATAGCTAAGGAAAATAACTTTTGCAGTAGTAGAGGAGGTATCACCCTCTGCTTATAACTGTTGCCAGAGACAGGACCCTGGGCTCCCCAGGCCCAGGTCTGAGGCAGTACAGCTGGTCCCTTACTCTTCCAGCAAAGAGATGGCTAGGCCAGAGGGAAAATGGCTACTGCCTGAATCCAGCAGTGAGTACAGAGACTCCTCAGGACAGTTTCAGGAAAAGCTTTTGGTGCCACTGTTTTCAGTCTGGTGAATCAGCTGCCTTTGGTGGAGAATCACTCTTGCCCAGTTGTTCCTCCTGTCCCATAAGGATGTCAGTCCCATGGTCAGCTTTTAGACATGGGGACACCCACAGCAGGTGTCCTGGCCAGGCTTATTTTACAGCCTGGTATGTGTCTCTGTCCTCAAGGACACCACTGGAGCTAACAAGAATGAAGTCTTATTTTTCTTCCTCCTTAGACTGATCAATGGGAAAATTTGGCAAAGAGTTGGATAACAGAGGCTGTGGTTGAAGTTGCAGGTCCACATCACTTGGATCTCTGATTTTGGAGGCCAGCACCCCAAATGGGATCCAAGGCCACTGGAGGGCTGGAGGAGGTCACTCTTGCACATTGTATGTGGTCTCAGGAACAGACATACATGCGTGGCACAGGACAGTTAGATGAGGATGAACGTGTGAAATGCAACCAGTGAAGTCTCCTAGAGAGAGCAGCTGGTGCCTGATTTGCCAGGCCTTTGCTGTCTGGAAGCCATCAGTCATCATGTCCTGTACAGAGGTGAGGGAGCGTTGAAAGGTTCTGGTGAAGCCCCAGTAATTCAGATGTCCGTGGATTTGTTTCTGCAGCTGGGGCTGTTGTTGGGAGCTCTGCAGCCCTGTGGAGCTGGTTCTAGGAGGAAGGTTCCTGTTCCACTTGAAGGCTGGTTACCTGATATGTGTCTGTCCATCCAATCCTCACATCCTCACCCACGGGCTCCTCTTACATTTCACTGCCCTGGTACAAGAAAAGCCATCTGTTCCCAAGTATCAATAATTAATGCTTCTCCTGCCTCTGCCCCTCCCAATATGACAAATTGTTTGTGATATTGTGGAATGTGAAGAGCAAAGAGAGGATCACATTTCTTTCTCTCCTATTTAATATTAATGGTAGCTGGTAATTGTTAGTCATCTGAGGGTGAAGTTGAAAGGTGAAGGGCATAATAGCTGGGTTATGTCTTCTGCAGTTACCTTCAAAGAATGCAGGAATAGAGATTTGCCCTACTCCAGACTGGAAGCACCTGCTTGGTGGAAGACCTGCATGCAGTTTGCAAATGGGGAGGCTGGCCTGCACTGGCACCTTGTGCCAAGCCTTGCCCTTGGTATTAGTGAAATAAGACTGACCCAGAGCCAAGCTCCACTGAGGATTTGTCTGTTCCATCTGCTGTGACACCCAAAGGTCCAAGAGCATCCACAGGATTTTTCTCAGTGTTACTTTAGACCTCTGGGATTGTGTCCAGGCCTAGTTCTTCCTGGTCCTCCTCTACATTTCAGCCTCTAAAGGAGCCACTGAAGCAGGCTATACCTTGAAATTATGCAAGTATCATCTTTGTCCTCTGGCCTGCAGACCCCTGGAGGCTGCAGTGTTCATTCCTGGGCAGGGGAATGGAACAGGTTTGCTTAACACAGCATCATCACAGCACTGAAGCAACTGCAATGGGATACAGCTGTTCCACCACCATGAATATCCCAGGCAGGAACCCCTGCAGTCTGACCAGGCTTTGGTGGGGCAGAACCTCTGTTTCTGAAGTTCAAATCCCCTCAGTGACTGCCAAGCTCCTCCAGCCTGAATGTCTGAAAATCTTCAGTGTTTAAGCCTAGAGAGCAGCTGCAGGGAAGCACTCCAGCTCCACCCTGAAAACATCACTGTCTTTACAGAGGAAATGTAAACACCAGCAGTGTCCTGGGCCTGGAGATGCCACACGTATGTGTGTGGATTTTGTGGGCCTGTTGGGTAATATCCCTCTAGCCCCTTCTCTTGCCTGGTATCTGCAGGGCAAATGGGCTTGCTGTTGAGCAGGAGTCCTCTCAGCAAGGTGTGTCACTGATTTACACTTGAGGCTGCTTGACATCTCTCTGGACACCCTTGAAACCCTGTGAGTCATCTCCAAGGAATTTGTTCTGATTATATAAAAAAAGCCAGCAAAATGCACTCACTTGCTCACGGCTGGGTGGAGATGCCTCTCCCATGCCAAGACTGAGGTGATAAAATCTCTGTGGAAATGAATCTGATTTTTCCTGTTGCTCTGTGGCACTGGCAGCTGAATTTCCAAAAGGAGAATCAGGCATACCCAGTCCATAATTTAGCTCAGCCTGTGCATTCCCCACAGGAGTAAAAGCTCTCAAGGTCCAAGATTGTGCTGCTCTTGCTACCACAGAAGCCAGCTGCCTGCACTGAGTCTTCTAGGATCTCAACTCCTGAGGGCTGGGCAGGCGTTTCCTGCCCCAGAAGAAAAGGCTCTGCTAGGAGGGAGATGCACTGGAGCTTGATCACTGTTAATGGTCAAGGAGAAGTGTGTGGTCTTGGGACTCTGCTCAGTAGTATGGCTGCAAACATGTATGGATTTTCCTGTGCTTGGGAATGCTTGTCAGAGTTAATTTCTCTAATTTAGTACTGGATAGCTTCTTTGCCCTCTCTCCTGGGTAGCTCAGTGGTACCTCATAGTCTGGCCAGGGCATGTCCAGGCAGAGCTGGTGGAGGAGACCCTTTTCTGTTCCTCAGTGTGCTCTGGTGAGCTGGAAGCACACTGGGGAGGTGCTTTCAGTTCCAGGTGTGAGCTGGAAGATCAATGCATTTGAAACTGTGCCTCAAAGCCAATTCTTCTGTCTCTCAACTGCTCATCCATGGCTGGGGTGCAGACTCCTGGCCTGCACTTCAGCAGGAGACTCCTGAGTGGTGTCAAGACAAACTTTGTTCTCTGATCTGTTACTGGGACTCCACTGCCCAACAGACCCAGTGCTGTTGTATAAACCCTCACAGGTGATTTTTCAGCTCCTATCTCATCTCTTTGTTTTAACTTGCGAAATGCAGAATGGCCAAGTGTGTCATCTCTGTTCCTATTCCAAATAACTTTGCAAAAGCTTTTGTCCCTTGCCTGCTTCCGTGAATGCTGTACAAAAAATTGAGTCTTTGCCAAGGTGTCTGCTCACTTGTTTCTGTTTTCATGGCAATTAATCTATTGGAGCTGGATTTTCATCTATACTTTATTGTATTTTTATGTCTTGCTCAGGTCCTGTAGTGCTTCCTGTCCAAGCACTCCATAAAAATGTATTTTTATCACAGGTCACTGTCTTCTATTAATGTAGAAGTGTCAGACCCACTGGGAACATAGCGAAGGAAACGTGGAAATGGTGGTGAGGAAAAGGAGTAATTTTAAAATAGAGTGAAATAGAAATTATTTAAGGATGGGAAAGTGACTGTTTAGAATAGTAAAAACAGATCCATAAGGAGTTTATGAAAGTGAGAGAGCAGGGGGCTGTGCTAAATCATGGGAACGAAGCACAAGACAGGCTCCCAGCATCCCTCCTCCGTGTGCTCTGCCCCAGCACAGTCTTCCCAAGCCTCATGATCCAGAGGTGAGCTTCTATCCCCGGGCATTTCTTGCAGGAGCAAGAATGTGAGCAAGGAGTTACCT